GTGCCCAACCCCTCCCCCCCCATTTTGATTGTAACTTCGGCGGCGGATATATACATTTAACCATAAACGCATGTCAACACGGTTGTACCCTTCGGACGGTCTGCGAGCACACAACCCCTAACGCCGACGTCGCGTACTTGGCGTCACGGAAACTTGACAAAACTTTATTTATTTGACTATTCCGAAAATGAAAAAAAAAGAAAAGAAACTTTTAAGTCGGGCCGGCCGAGTCGAAGTCGTCGGCGTAAACGCGTCCCGAATTGAAATGAGGCTCGCACGTAATTATACGTCGTCTCTCTTGGAAAGGAAATAAAAAGAAAGAAAGAAAGGAAAAAACTAGAAGGAATTAAGACCATTGGTGTTTGTGCAAGTCCCATTGAAATTTCTATTGCCCGTATTCCGCCAACTCCTCCCCTCGGACTCTGGCCGACTGCTGCCCGTGCAATAGCGTTCTCGTCAGGTGAAAGTTCCCGTTAATTTTATTACCGTCACCGAGGAAAAAAAAAATAATAATAATAATAATATACCTAATAATAAAAACTCGGAAAAGTCAGCAGGTTTATATTGTTATTATGGTACCGCCGCCTCGCGGGTGCAGCTCATTCGGTCGTTTAAGAAAACGCCGGTAAACCAAGCCATCGTCGGCTGGTATAGCTGAGATTTTGTTCACACATAATGATATTTGATATATTTTACTTGCATCGTTCACATATTATAAGCGTTGGTGGTGGGTAAGTTTAGTACAGGGTAAATATTCTGGGTATTTATAAAAAAATCAACCAATTTTTTACCACGCTTATTAATATTTTAGAAGCTGTAAAAAAATATACTTCAATTAAGTAAATTAGACTTTAATTCGCAAAATTGGTTTTTGTTTATTATATCTTATTAAATATACATAACTATATAATATAATATACATTATAATATCAAGTGTTAATGCGTTACACTGGGCTGATTAAGTGATAAGATATGTTTGTCGGTGCTAAAAGACTACATATTATTCATTTCCGTTTAATTTGTACTCGTACACTTTTTTTACATACCTTATTTGAACTGTCATTTTTCAGTTATATATTTAATATTTACCAACCCATCTGATAAATACCCAGTGACCCATCACTAGTTGAGTGTCCTACGCAGAATTGAAACCCTATGCAACCGTTAGTATTCTTTTTGGAAAAAAAAATGTCTATTAAATCATGACGGCACTACTATTAGTCTCAATTTGCATCCGCAGGGATTTAAAAAACCAAAATATTTCTTCCTGTAAAAAATAAAAAAACCTGACGGATTTCATTTTAGGTACTACAATTTGGTTGTAGCAATAATAACAGTCGCTAATGCTTTAAAATAAATTACTTGTTGTATAAACATACACGGGTGAAATATTATTATTTTGGCGTTGGTGGTAATAAACATATAGTAGGCAAACATGGTGTTGAAATGGTTGTTTCACGTTAAGGATAAACCGGGTTCCGTGAAAATTATAACGACCGAAATAACACACTAGTTAGCCATACTTGATAACACTATGCATTTATTTGGATTTAACATTGTTTCGTATAACATGTATGAAAAATATTTAAAACTATAAATTTAAATAAAAAATCGAATTTATAATACAAAAAAAATATGTATACCTGGAAGATTTTACAAAATGCATTTCTTGACAAACTTGTTATATTCTTGTAAACATTATGGAACGAATGTTAATTTTTAAGAAAATTTAATATAATATATTTTTATTAACAAAACGTACCTATTTTTTGTACTGTCATATATTTTGTATTCAATTAGAACTTTATAATAGGATTATTATATAATTCTCATACAAATGCTTACATGGGCAAAGGAGTTATATAATTCGTTTATATGATAATGTAATACTGCTAAAGAGTAATTCGCGATTGACGTTAAATTTGTATTAAGTTATCATTTTAGGGTTTACAGCCGATAGGTCATAATCAATGTTTATGCCTTTGTCAATTTATATTATGCAGAACTATCTAATGATGATTTAAATTAATTATCGTCGTAGTGGCCATAATGGTTTTGGGTAAATCCGTGCCTTTAGGTGTTGCATGTATCATATTATGAGATCTATGATTTAACGTTATATTCTACTAATTAGACTAATATAAATTACAACTAGCTCAAATATATGCGTGTTTTTTTATTAACAATTGTTATTGCATGTATTGTAGTTGGAAAAGTAATTTGAAAATCAGTGTTATGTAAACACGTTTGAAATGAGAACTTAAATTTAAAACTAATAAAAGTTTATGAAATAACGCACCCGGATGATCTGATGTTAAGAGTTCCCTATCGAAATGTTTTCATTTTGCTTCAATACGGATCGCTATAAATTATTCACCGAACGAGAAAGAAAAGAGTAAGTACTAAAAACTTCTTCTTCTATTTTGAATGTAGTAAATCTTAAAATCCCTGACAGCACATGATAACATTATCCAACACAACCCCTCGCAGGCTGTTCTTGGTAGATTATTATGTACAAAATAAATATAAATATAATATATACTTTTCTAAAACTTTTTCATATTATCAATATACTACAATTTACACAGTTATTCGATGAGCTAAGACGATTTGTTAAAATGCCATTAACTTCAATAGTTGTTTACGCTAAATATAGATTTAAGAATAAAACATGATACATATTTAACAACCAAATAAATAATCGGACTAAACTATTTATTTAGTAAATTCCAACTAGAAATGTATCGTGTCCCTAAACATTAACCATAATTTTAGATGGATCCAACAGCTATGTATTTTTTTTCCGTGAACGGCACTTATGTGTAACAAATTATAATATACTGTCAAATATGATAAATACCGAGTTTTTGTTTTGTTAGTTGCTAATGTAACGTTGTTTTTTTTTGTGATTAACCTATAGTATTAAAAAAGTATATACTAATATAATTGAGTTGTATAACAATTACGGCTTACCGAGTTTGGCACGAGACTACTGTTTTTGGCAAAAGAGCAAAAAATGAAATAAAACGCGCGTCCGCTGGCTGTGTGTGTCTCGGTTGCGAGTGGCGACGCGGTTTTTTTCCACCAGATAACCGCTGACAAGTGTTTTTAAATGGTTTTACATTATGCAGAATCTTTCCCCTATCCACTTTTTTCTAATTTCGTTTGAACGTTCTTCTCCCGAGAGGCCGAGAATTAATTAAGCGCGAATGTTAAACGGAGCATTACAGTGAAATGTCGACAACGCGCTTTAATGAATGCCCTCCAGTGAAACTCGTTAATGAATCATCAGTAAAACACACTTGAACAGGGTTTCTACATGCAATTTTATGCACGTCCATATTTCTTTTAAATGATAAAAAATACCTTAAAAATTCAAATACCGAATATTATTAAATATGGCCACCCGAAAGCCACTTGATCTTACACTGTGCGTTCGAGAGGGGGTACTTCAAGATTCAATGTTTGTACTTCTTTATGCACAACAGCTGTTCAATTCGGATGGGACTTGAGGTCATGTAATTGATTGTACGTGATTATGTAGGTTCGTTGTCATTATTCCAATTAGGTACCTTATAAAGTCGTCGAAATAAACGTTAATGTAAGACAGCAATAGTTTACCACAAATTACATCCTATTCTAATAAATTCAGAAAAATAAATAGAGTTTATTATTATACAATATACCTGTTGACTGTACATATTTTCTACAATTCACCTTTATAACGACTTCAATGATAACAATTTTAATAAATCAATAATATATTTTTTTGATTAATTAATTATGCTATAACTTCAATATGGACTATGCATTTATAATAATATGAACGCTACTATTTACGAATTACGTGTAAGTATCTGTTTCGTGACCATGTCTTACGGAAGGCTCTTTATATATATATATATATATATAGAGAGAGGAGAGAGAGAGACACACAATACACTCTTGCTTCTAAACTTGCATACGATTGCTATTGTCCACTCGACGCCAAATAATAGAATTCATTTTTACAAAATGGGCTTCCTTTATAATTACAGGTTTTTAGATTAAGAAGTGTTAATGAATGAGAATAGAGATTGGGGAGAAGACATAAATTAAAATAAATTATAGTCGAATTAAACATAGAATAGAAATGTAATTGAGGTGAAAATCTTGTCGAAACTTCTACAAACTAAGATTAAAAGGCGAAAAGAGATAAAATTAAAACAATTGTAAAATATATTATTTCAACAGTTTAATGTAATCTAATTAAACTGTTAATGCTATTAACAGTCATAAAACTATTTGTATGTTTTTATTTTTTTTTTTAATTCTATTTATTTTATAGCTGTTAAAACTTTAAATTGAAATTTCGCCAAAAATTGCATATACCGAACTCCTTAATAAATAAGGGGTATACCTCCTTTAAATATCAAAATATTAAACTTGTCAACAATTTTTAATCGTATCTTGTTTGTTTATTTATATACTTGGAAATAATTTCGTGTTGATGAATGATAATATAGTAAGCTGTGTTTGATTCTAATACTTTTTCAATATCATACTTACAGAAATTTGAAAAATACTGTATCAATGTTGCTTATAACATGAACATAAACCTGTTTATATTTATTCTTTTATACCATATACACAGTATTAGTGTTGCGACCTTTTAAATTTAATCTTCCCTTCATGGGTTCCTATTAAGCGTTTCATTTGCATTTTTTTTTTGTTACAACATTTTGTCTCCCCAGAATGTGCTACCATTGAGTACATACATGCAGGTCGGTTACCCGTAAGGTGTGTAAAACTTATTTTGAACTTCCTCGAGTAGTTGATTGAACATTTTTTTTTCTTCCCGAACGAATAATTTGTTAAAATACAAACGGCTCAATAATCATACTACCTTTTTAACACCAAAGATATTATGATCCTTTATGAAATTTTTAAGTATTTCAATTTCAAGTTTTTCTTTTGTTACTTACTATTGAGCTAAGAAGATTTTAACATTAAAAAAAAAATCAATAATTTACAAGACTTTATTAAGATACATATATTGTTTTTCCAGAGTGACAATAAAATATATTGATGATAACAATCGTTGTTTTATTTATTTTTTAATTTACAAGTACCTACCTGTATAATAATACAGTTTATTAACTTTCTGCATTATAGTGAACTATTATCCTTATGAGTAAATAACACGCAAAACACATAACGTGTATTGTAGTCACGACGACTACTTAAATTCTCATAAATATTAAATAAAAACAACTGTTGTAATATTCGACATCAATAAAATTACACACGTTACATTCCACTTAGGTACTAGAATTATGCATTGAAAACAATAATCTGTGATCGTTGAGTATAACTGAGTTTAACGATCATAACGTTAGGTATTAACGAGGATGTAAATACCTGTTTTAATTACAATATATGAGTATAGGCAAACATTTTTTGTCCAGAACGGATAGAATAATAATTCAATGTGTAATTAATAAAACAAAACAATGCGTTTGTACGAGCGAAATTCGTATTTGTTGTTTAAAAACAAAGTTTCAAAAACGTAATCGCATTAGTACATAAAACATGGAAAATTATAAATGTGCGTTTAGAATAAATGTTTTTAGATCAAGGTATCAAAATATATTCGATAAAACGGTTGTGTTTTACTTAAACGTCTACAAGTAAACAATATACATTTTTGTAACTATTATTTTGAATCACATATTTTATAATATTAACATATAAACACATACTTGCTGAAGCTGAAAACATAGAACAATTATTTTAAACTATTTAGGTAATCAGTTCTACACAATAACATCTAATGCGGTTCAACAATAATAGACAATTTTTTTTTTTTTTACTTACAGTTATTTCACTTATATCTATATACTATAATGTACCTATATTTTATATTATAGTCCGTATATCTATTTATTGCTGTTCTGTTCAGTGTACGCGTCTTTCCAAGGATAATTGTATAAAATAGCCAACGAACGACGGTTTAAATTTATTTTATTTTATCGATCACATACATAAAACTACCATTTGCATACTCGATAATATTTGAGCGTTGTATAGCTCTTAAAGGTATCTATTATTATCGGAATAGATATAGACCGTATTGCTGAGGAGATATGTGTAGGTGTATGTTGATTTGTATAAATATTTTTTGTTCTCAACGATAAAACATAATTGATTTTTGGTAGTTACAAAAAAATAAAATAAATAAACGAGTAATGTAAAACTAAATGCGCGAAACCAACGAACCCGTGCACGGTATCTAATAAAATTGTGTGTGTTATTATGGCTGTGTTGCGCCATAAACAACAATTATTATTTTATAATGTAATGGTTTTTTTTTCCATTATTTTTTAATATATTTATATAAATAATAGGTATGTTTTATGCCATTGTCTTATCTTATCTTCGATCGAACGTCCATCGTGTTAGATTTGAAACAAAGAATCGGAAGTCCAATCGTTGGCTGGAACAAACATACAAACAAACTTGTAATTATTTCAAATCAATTACGTTCAACGATGTCAATTAAAACAACTGTCATCGTTAGAAAAAAATATTAAGCTGCACCGCGGTGGTAGGTTATGTAATATTATGACTTTTTTTGCGAGAAGCACACAACTAAAGTAACACCTGCGAATAAGTATGAACACCGAATAAATTGAATAGAGTCAATTTTAGTTTTTTACTTGTTTTTTGCACGCGAGACGTGATAAGCGTTGACAACGCAAAGTAAATTAAACAACTGCACAAGGACATACGCGACAGGGGCGGGTAGAATGAACACTGAAAAAAGTAAAAAAAAAAGTTAACGGCCGCGATGGGACAAAGTTCCGCTGGGCAATTTGTATTCAGAGAATTTGTCGACCTTTGAATTTTTGATTAGCCAATGAAAAAAAAAACAAGTTATTCTCGACACAAGTTGCAGCAAAAAAGAAAAATGCATGCACCTCTGTTGTATAGTTTGTTTTGAAAGCGGCAACGTCTCGGCTCGGTTGAATTTTCAACATAGTTTTAATGCAATTGACTTTGGAACTTTACAAGCCCGTGGAATTAAACTTTTTATAAAAATAACTCTTTCGCCTTCGTCAAAAACAATCTTTTTAAAAAGCTTTGATTTCCGCAGCGTGTACTGTGTGTTTAATGTTAAAGGTAACGCCTGTTATTTTGACGATATACTAAAAACTTTGAAAAAATAACCTATGTGAAACAATTTTTAGAAATTTTAACAATTTTTAAGCAGCTTAGGAGATATCGTAGGTCCAGACATAAAAATAACACTTTATAAAATACATCATTGTAAAAACAGTACCTTTCCAGCACCGCGTTAATAATTATAAAGATTTAAATGGAAAATTAATTTACTCGTGGAGGATTTTGAAGTTTTAAACAACTTCGTGAAAGTGCGTTCGTTTTAAACCTTTGATGCTCCGACTTAAATTATGAACTTTTTGTAAATTGTTCCATTTAAAATATGCAGATATCGTAATGTATGCAAACATGTCAGTATTTTAACGCTCAAACAGGTATTTCAATAAGTAGGTATTTACTAACATGTGTATTATATAATATATAAAATGACTTAACATTTTTAACAAACAGCAATTTGTTGATTGTAGAAAAAATAAAGGTGGTTGTAGGAGAAAGGCATGATCCAAGTGATGAAAAAAATTGAACGGACAATAAAGTAATAAAAAAAAAATCTCTTGTTCAAACGTCTCGATATTAACAATGAACTGAGGCAATTCTAGCTTATAAATACCCGAATACAAAATCAAAGATCCGGAATTTATCTAAATTATGACATGGGCAATTTTCGATAAAGTTTTAAGATGCCGAGTTATCGCACACATTGATCATTACAATTTAACGAACTGCCTGACAACTTTGCTAAACAATTTGTTTTTATAACTTAGATATATCCACGTTGTTTAATTGAGTACAGAGGTAATTATGGGCCAGTTATGCGGACAAGTGTTTGTGGTAAAAACAGGTAGGACGCCCTCTGAAGACGTTTAGAGAAAAACAGCGATACAAGGGTTCATTTTGTACATCACATGTGTAACCCGATGAGTGTAACTTGTACGATAAATCTCGGCGGCGTGCGGCTTAGGGCATTCGAAACTTTACTTTGGCGGTGGCATATCGAAAACGGTATTTCAGGTGCCTTTGAGTAGGTGCGCCCGTTTGAAAACTGATGCAATGTAAACGGATCTCACTTTGTGACGATCCAATGATGGCTCGGTAGAGTTTTACAAAGTCCGGCTTAAATGTGATACAACTTCGATAATATATCGAAATATTAGTGTTACAGCACCGACAGTGTACTCGGAGGGACCCTTGTAAATTACATAGGTTTAGTTTTCACGACCACAACGCACTTAACCGGAAACCCTCGCCTGTGCGTTTGAGTGTGTGTGTGTATTACGGAAATTAATTTCAGAATAACTTTTAAGTGTTTAACTGTCGCGAGGCTAGTGCAGAAACCACTCATAACCGGGTATTTCCAACAAAATATTATAATCCGAAAATGCCATAAAGTATAAGAGTTATAAAGGTAAACAAAAAAGTTCCAAACTCATAAGCGTAGCATTAAGGATTTTTAACAACGTTCAATAATACTATATTGTTATGAAAGTGCCCATGCAGCAAAATTATTTTTTAAAGCTTTATAATTGTTTACAATAGCTGTTGTTAAAAATATTTTTATTGAAAATAGCTATTCTTAATTCGTATTTTGGTAGAAAATCAAATAACACCAGTGTTTTAAACAAAGTTCATTAATATTGGTATTTCACGTGTGATTTTTACCGATTAGGCAGAATTTTTTTTTTTGGCACCATTTTTTCCCCTGATTGACACTATATGAAAATATTATTTTTCCTAACATTCTTTATTTAATATTTTCTATCCTAGCGAACTAAATTGTATAAACAGTTTTCATATCTGAGAGACGAAAAAGGTGATCAAGTCCATTTTTATTACAAAATTAAGGTTATGAAATTTGCTCATATTTTCAGTTAAATAATATTAATTTTCGACTTAATAATTCACGCGCTATTATTTATATAAATCAACTGACCTTTGTAATACATGTTCTTGTGCATGTTCAGCTTGCAAGTCTTACCCTAAAAAAAAACAACAATAATATAAGTAATAAGTAATCTGTAATACAAGTCATAATAATAAATATATTTAACTATTGTTAAACCAAAAGCAATTTCGTTAAAATCTCTTAAAACTAAATAATACAGGCGGTGTATTTGAGTTCTTCCACTAAGGTTGCAGCTTATATGAATAATACATTTGTCAGATTTCGTATGTCATACGATTGTTCGACAATAGATATGAAGGTCTGTGGGTTTTTTCAGGGATAACATTTGTATTACAGTTTTTCCAATGATTTTATCGGCAACCGTTGTGTACCCATGTAAAGTACACGCGCAAAAAGTACTTGTATTCAATTGTATGACCACGTACGGACATATTATTATATGTATACAATATACATATATTTTACAAGCATGAAAAGGCAAACATAAAATATATATTTAAACGTATAGCAGAACACATTTGGCATCTACGTACGTGACAGTTTATTTACTTATATTTTGCTTCCATCTGGGAAATCTTTAAGAATAGCAAATACTTAAACTCTGATGCCTACTATCGAGACATGTCTTTAAATTCCGCTGTTGTACTCATTTTATACCCTTCGGTCCTTGCTGAACTACTAGTGAAATATTGATTTGTTGTTCAACCCTTAACAGCGTTTCAACGCTTTTGTTACTTTAGTCGACTCAGACTATTCTATCCACTAGTTTTACCGTAACTCGTTAATTAAGAGCAGTTATATCTTTTAAATAATTTTGAGGTAAACCATAATTTGGTAAACCATTTTTTTTGAATCTGGTCTAGGTCTGATAGGTTGACGGGATAATTTCAAAAGGATAGTGATATCTTATAAACAACTTTATTGTGTCAGAAATTTCTATTTTAAACGCGGTAGTTTCCGGCACGTCAGCCTTAACAACCTATCCCTCGGGATTTTGCTTAACCCTTTTAAACATTATTCCTAGGAATAATATAGTTTTTACGCGAATACAATGTGAGTATTGACCATTGTGGAATATACTCTTTTCATGGCCACATCGCATCTCAAATAATATTAGTTAATACGTCACGGCAACAGCTACGTCATTTTCTAGTGTTTGCATTTACTAAACTACACCTACCTATGTTTCATGATATGAATTAATGATTTATACTAACTAACGGTTAAAAAGCCATTTGTTAGTGAATAGACGAGGTATAGCATCTATTAATAATAATAATAAATTAGGTGAAAAATAAATAGGTACTTAACAATGAAAATAAAAATAAGGAAGATCTTTTTAAATTAGAAATGTTGTGACTATTCAAAAGTAGGTTTGTTACAGATATATATGAGCAACTTTTTTGTTTTTAAGTAATAAAGTTATTGTTGTTTGAAAAACATGCGTTATTTTTGCACCACCCTGTAATTAACTTATACTTTGTTTGGTATTAAAGGAGACGGGAAAAGCCAAAATAATAAAAAAGCATCAGCGGTCATCTAAACCAGTTTAAAATAATAATTGTATTCAATATTATATGCTATAAATACAATAATTCGTTTCTTTTATGTATAAAATTACTTTATTTGTTAAATTCCTTTTTTCAAGAATACAAATCTTTTTAGTTACAAATCTGTGGATCCTGGACCTCACTTTGGTCTTTTTTGTACTATGCTGGTTAAACTGTGCTTGGTTTTGACTGTTCTGGTTTACACTTTGCTGGCTTTGAACTCTACTGGTTTAAACTGTACTTTGTTTATACTGTATTGGTGTAGACAGAACTTAATTTATACTCTATTGGCTTAAGCTGTATTTAGACTGAACTAGGTTATATTATAATATAATTTTTTTTTAAATTATATTAACTATTACAAATGGTCACATGTAAACTAAAAAAAAATAATTAATTCACCACGCAAATTATTTTGATTCCTTTTGTTGCATTGCAATCATTACGTTTTGAATATTATGACAAAATATAGCATTTGTCGAGATACGGTTATTTCTCGAGTTTTATTATAAAATGCACACTGTCTGTTAACATAAAACTTTTTTTGTTTGTTTTTGAAGACCAACTATATTTTTACGTACACATAAAAAATGAAACAAACGTGACGCATCACAGCAAGCTTTTTATTAGTATTTGAGCTAGAGAATAATAATATTCCAGATAAATTACCGACCTTTTTATTCTTTATTTTTTTTTGTTACATTTTTGCAACATAATAGCGTTATAAAAGCAACTCGGAATATAAGAAATTGTGAACTCATCACATGTACTTATAATTTAAATTTAACTATACTTAAGTCATTTAATTTGCGAGAATAATATATTCTAAGAAAAAATAGTATACATTTGAGTAGTGAAATAACAAACAAATTTATAATAAAATAAATAAATATATGTATATTATATGTATCCTAAATATAATTCATTGGTTTAAATTAGCTCTCAAATACCGATTGGCCATGAAACTTGGGTTTTTCCAAATTTTAATTTCAAACTACTAAATAAATCCGATCGTTGGTAATAATGAAAGTTATTTTTTAAGTGAAAGCATATTAGTTTAATAAACTAATTTTGTAATTTAAAAGTAATAAGTACATATTATGATATTATATTATTTAATGTACCTTTGATTTCTAAGCAAATTGGATAGTTAAATATAGATTGTTGGATTATAGTCTATAGTCCACTTTGTTGTAAAAGCTAACATAATACAGGCATATATTATGTTTGCACGCAATAATTGGATAACTAAACGGAATACATCAAACGTTGTATACATAATTGAAAAACATTGTTTCAAACGTTTGCCTTTGAAAGTTTAAGTATATATTATTTACAGTCCATTAAGTTGGTATTGTAATATAATCGCTCAACGAATTAACGCATTCCATTTTATCGTATACACTTTATTTATCGATCAGTCACCGACACTATACATAGAGCTTAGAAGTGAACAAAACAAACGCTTTTATTTATATTAATACTATACCTTTACATACTGTTTAAAATTATCATTGTGTAATTGACACTTCGTAGTTTTAATTCTAATTTTTCCAATTACACTTCATAATTGTTTTAATTGTTATTTCAATAAAATCATTTGGTAAAATCATTTTTAGCAGCATACATTTAATCGACATATTCTGTTACAGTGTATACAGTTGCACGGTGGCCGGGTGAATAATTTTTGAAAGAGATCAGTAACATTTACAAATGATAAAATAAATATTTAAAAGTACTTAGTAAAAAAAAAAAGATGAAAAGCTAAGCGGTCTAAAACCTTTACAAATAATATTATGTGTGCCGAGAAATTGACACCATTGGCACGTAACTAAGTTTGTACGAAGCGAAGACTTTACATTGTAAAAGGTTTTTTTTTTAACGACGGTCGATGGATAACAGACTTTGGTCGTTTGAACTGAATTTAAGTCATTTAAGCGATATCATACCGACTATCGACCCTGAGTTCCTGTAAACCCGATCGTGGGAAAAGATTTCTCGGTTTTTAGCTTCGATGCAGAGCAGAGATGCTATTTTTTTCATGAACTTAACGTAAAAAAGAAAGACATACGTTTTTATAATACAATGACAGAGAGTGCTGAGGTATTTTCCGTTTAGCATACAACGCAAACCGATCACTGTATTAGACTTGATTTCGTTTTAGGAATTATTATACAATAGTCGTAATACACGAATATTATTATAAGTAATAATAGTAGTAGTAGTATAATCGAATTACTTGCTGTACGCTTCCACATGATAAGTTAAGTTAATTAATATCGTCGAAACCGTTATTTACGTCCCATCCACATCCTGCACCCATATAAATGTTCATTAACCTATTGATATACCCCATCTATGGATATCCTAACAAATACAATAACCATCAAATATACTATTATAAACAATCATTGATTTCCATACTCCCACGTCAAAGCTCCCTTTTTCATCTTATACAGTATACTAAAAATCCATTTATGTCTTTTCTTTTAATCTGCATCGTCCATAACTTCAGTTACGAATGCAAATGTATGATAACAAAAAACCAACCAACCAGAAGAACGTCATGTTCCAGCTAAAATATTAAAGATAAATGTCAAATAAAGCAACCTAGAAATTTAATACGGTCAGTGTAACTTATTTTCCATAAAAAGAAGATAACAGACATTTGAGAAAATGGTAAATGATATAACCTTCTATATAAGCTAGTCTAATTTTCAGATTTTCAGTCCTAAAACTATGGTCAAAAAAACTTTGGTCAAATTGTTGGTCTATTATAGTACCTTTAAGTACGAATTATTCTGATCTATAGACTTTATACATAGATAAATCGGCGCTGCAGCCTAACAAATATTGTGATCTCAGATACAACAAATATATACATATAAATAAATACTGAACGCCTGATAATTGTATAAATAATACTTCCTCAACTCTGTGCCGAAGGCACAAAATAAACATTCTACAGAATTTTCCAGCTGGAATGTTTTGTAGTTTCTAGAACACTTTGTACTTAAGCATATTATTATTCCAGACATTTTACGGTTACAAGCAGAAATGTAAGCGCAGCTTTGATCTTTTAGATAGTATGTTGTTCAGTAATTTGTTTATAGCGTAAAGTAAACTAATTTGTTTTATAATACGTTTAATACAGTATATCTTTATCGTGATATAAATTCTTATGAACCCAACAAACAGGTCACAAATGCATTATATGAAAAACCACGACAAATTATTGTAACTTAATTTAAAATTACAATTTTTAAGGATAAAATATAATATGACATCCTTTATAATATCATATGTTAAGTTTTAACCAAATTTATAACTTTTAAACACTGTCCAAAATATCCCAATAGACCTTACTGCGGTTTATGTTTATAATAAAATTATAATATTTTATTTATCTCTGTCTAATCCAACTATAATTTTCCATTTACTTTTGGATGTACATACATTCTTTTTCATATACTCTGCGTGTAATAAATAATAACAAGAACTATTTTATTGTGAGCTCTTTGGTAATTACAAATGTGTTGGTAAGTACACGTACCTGTGGATCGACTTCTGATCTTTGTGCAAAATTTATGTTCGTCCTCACGGTTCTTTCGCGAAGGTCTTGTGTAGGTCTCGAGTTGTTACCCAGCGGTGCTTTCGGATGTTCAAACGAACCTTGAGACAGTCTTCTCAATTGATGCATCTGTAATAAGAAACAACACATTTTATTTATTACCGCTGTTTATGATAAAATAGTGTATTTTAGTAGGAAAACGGGTATGGTGTCGGCGGTTCGAACATTGAAAATCTCAAGGGCGCTTTTATTAAGGCGATTGCAAGCGGTCTGTATTTGGACATCTTAGACCGAAAAGCCAGACAACATTTCGACCACTCGAGATGGTCCGATTTCAATTCTATAAAGATATACGAGATCTTCGGCAACTTTACTAGGTTATGTAGGAAACTGATTTTTGATTTTTTTACTTTATGGGTTTTAATATTGAAAAAATTGCAAACTGAATTGGGAGAAACTGACATTTTTTAAATGAAAATCGGCATTCTACATGACATAGTAAAAATAGCCAAAGAATTTTGAATCTTTAACAGAATTAAAACCAAATTGTCCTATGTAGCCGAAATTTTGTTTTTTTTTTGGTTTATAATAAACCAAAATCGCTTTTACTCTTAGAAAAAATGATTTACATTAAATATTGCCTAAACAAAACTCCTTAAAACAGACCGCATGCAATCCCTTATTTTTTAAGTGTTGTTTGCGGTTTCAACGTGGACTTGTGGGATTGAGAAAAATGTATGGTTTCTGTGCCGCAATTAATCGTGTCCCGTCACGGTTCCATTATACGGTATGCACACGACGTCACTCACCTCGCTCCGGGTTATGTATATAGGTTTGTTCAGCACTATCCATACTGTCGTCTCCCAACAACCGGGATGAGTGGTCGATCCTTCGTACGTCATGTAGTATTTGATGTCCGGGAGCATTTGTCTGATGGATAAGTTCTTGATTGGCCGGTACGAACCTGTGAACACGATGTCAACAATATGTAAATCCAGTGCGGTGTGCTATTTATAATAACATCACATTATGTACTATGCCATTGAATCGGATGCATTTACCGTGTTAAACTCTCACACATATTATAATATAATATAGACAATCAGAATATTATAGGCCCTAGCATAATATGTGTCGTTCATTGTAAAAATGAATTATCTCCTTGTAATTGAATTTTGAAATAACGAGCTTTTTGTATTGATGTGTAGGAAAAATGATACATAAGTATTCATTCGGTGTTTGCTATTTGTTATTTGAGTTGCTCATCTTTTATAATGAAAGACATGACTGAATGTCACTCCATTAATCAAAAACATGTATTTTTTTAAATATAGAGTTACACCACTTTTACAATGAACGACCCATATAATATGTTACTCCTGTGCACGCAAATAATATCAACTATGATTTTTACAATGGACAATGTCCGTCTTGTGGTTAATATACAGTGTATACTTATATAGATGATGTAATACCAGAAATGCATGACTGAAAAATTGGTCTTCAAAAACATTCGAGTCACGTAACCCAAACAGAATATCGCCATATTTTGTTCCCAGGTATCTCACCGGAAAGGTAGCTTTATGTGACCATTACATCAAAATGCTGAAAACGGGGTGTATGTGCATGTTTTTAAAATCACTATTTAAAATCAAGTTTAAACATAACAAATAGGTATACATTTAATGTGTGTGTTTATTTTTAACTGCTTGTGTTCAAAATCATTTTTCGTGATATATTTGAGTATTTGACGAGTAATTACTTAGTATATTGTTATTTGGGTTTTATTGAAATATTTAACAACGAGCATAATGATTTATTATTTAAAAATATGTATGAAAAGTAAAACTTGTTTACGAAAACGGTTATAATTTATGAATAACAGTTGATTCAGTTGAAACTAAATGTACTGTAGTCGAATTTCAAACAAAATATATTGGAAGTTAAACTCGTTAAAAATCTCTCATATTACAAAATAATACTTATCATCGTTATCGAATATCTCTTTAATGAAACTAAAAATGGCCACTAAAACGTTAAAAAATATAAACATATAGAATATCTAAAGATGATTTCAGCTTTGATGCGAAATCTAAAGATGTTGGCTTTTTTTTATGTGTCTGAACAATTTTGTTTTTAAAATTCTATTTTAAATTACTTGAGAGCGTCCCTATGGATCAGAGGTCATATGTGATTAGTATTTATGGAAAGTCAAACGTGGAAAAAAAATTTGCTCCTTAAACCGAAAATTACTTTGCCTCTTTTTTTTAGTTTCAACGAAAAATATTGGGTAAAAATTGACATGTTTTTAAAGCGTGCATTTAGTTAATTATTGTCTTACAATAATTTTAAACACACATTTTTATTATTATTAATTAGGTGAAATAATTGTGGTAATAAATAAAAATAAGATAAACGGTTGGCTTTGTGTACATCTATTAAATAAGTATCATTTTATAACCAGATAAATGTTAATTTTTAATTACTGAGTAATTGTTATCTGTAGTTATTTATATATTTCCGGAATATGCTTATTATAACAGACATAGTAGCATTAAAACGAAACATAGTAGCTGGAATTTGAGGTAGTAAGTTAATTTGTTCGCCATAAAAGTCGCTTTAAGACAACGGTGTGCTTCATCAGTACAAATCTTAACAACAACAAAAACTTTAAAATAACAAATTCCGGCGAAACATGTACGTAATACCGAATGTAAACATTGACGTGTTAAAAATGATTGGTTGTTTTTATAACGAACCTTAACAGCTATAATGCGATTCACTTTTGAACGTAAACAAGTAATCATAAAAGCGTTGAATTATACATTAAAAAAAAAAAAAAATACCCTACGCTATGGTATAGAAAGCCGTCGCCAATCTCGTTTGTAACGGTAATGTAGTCGTTTGTCATAAAAGTTTCCTTAAAAATCATAATGACAACAACAAGCCGAGTTTAGTGCGCTTTAAATACACAAACAGCGTCTCAGTGTGGAATAAAAATCGTCCTGACCCGCAACAACTCAATTGATTACATTACTTATTCAACTTAAAATATTGTAATTTTCAATTTTAATGACGACTCGTACAGCAAAAGCGTTGCACCGGCTTAATAGACTCAACTCAAACAAACCTTTGAATAAAACATCAAAGTTGGCGTCACTCATCAACGGTATAGCACTGCGTTATATTATCATAAATACATTTTCATAAGTTTTAATTAAACACATTTTATAAACGCGCATACAGAATGGTTTCAAAAAAAATCTCAGGTGAACCTCATTTTCAAGACGCATAGATAAGCGCAAACTTAAGGGAAAAAAAATTAACCCGTTTCGCTTTTGAAAGTGATTTCTATAGGACAGTCGGCTTGTCGAAACAGCATTCGGTACGGTTTTATGGTTTTTTTTTTTTTACAGACAGTAGCGTTTTTAATCGCTCTGTATTCACAAGACATCGGGTGACCCGAAGCAAAAAAAAAGTAACGAAAAACAAAAATGATAAAGGACTGGTTAAGTTTTTTTTTTGTATACATAATATATATGAAAACAATTTTTGTGGTCTTTTCTGATTTATTAAGAATAATGTAAATTTATTCACAGGCTTTGGCTTTGATCTGTAGAATTACCGAATTCAAACTGTTCGTCTGCGGCGTATGCGTTTTATTAGTTTTGTGGCCTTTGTGACAATAAAAAGGAAAGAAAGCGAAATGATTTCGAGCACTCTAAAGTGTATTAGATGTATATTCCGGTTAGCTATACGGGAGTAAAAATTGGGTTTCCCCGTTTCCTATTCTGTTACGCCCGGACGAACCGCGTGCATGATGTAAATTTTACTTTGGTTTTTTTTATTTCCTTTTTATGGCCTCAAAGTGGATTTTAAACCGATTGGACGATAAACTCCTAGCCGAGACCCCAGGAAACGTGTCGTCGTCGGCGGATCCAAATTTTACGACTATACAGCCCCCCCCCCCCTCGGAGTTATGGGCATCTTAAAGGGCTTTTAAGGTCTTTAGCGTTAACGTTTTTAGGTTAATTGTAGGCCGTCGCCGTCGTCGCCAGGCTTTTAATGTGAACGGTTTTACTCTCCCCCCCCCTCGCGTGTACCTGTGTCTCTCCTCCCGGGCCGTTTTTAAACCACTTTAATCGGTTATTTACTATGGGTAACAAAAGACGGGTTGTGGTTTACTTTGTGCGTTGGCTTTCTCGTAGTCTGATTGTTTGGCAAACCCAAACGCCGGACCGTAAAAGAAACCGTAAAAACGATTTTTTGATCGAGCAACCTAAAGTGGCTGGCGTGGTCGCCGTCGCCACCGTAGCGGGCTTAATATACACATAAAATACACACACACACACACACCGTGGTGTTATTATGACTAAACGATTCATAAACGATACGACGGGACTTCTTGTCGTCCCGCTGACCTTACTCAATCAAGTAGACACCTCAAAGTTGTTTGTTCTGATAAAAACAAGAGAAAACATACAATTTTAGAAGATCTATATGCAATGGCGCAATTGGGGAGGGGGGGGGCTTAAGAGGTTAACCGTTGAATCGTTTATTGAAGAAAAAAACTAGTTATTTTTTCCACTCCACGGAAAAACGTAGAATCATGGATATGTTACTTATCTCTTATCATTTCTCTCTATTCTCTTATCACTTATGCCATATCTCTAATCTCTTATCATTTATCACATCACTTATACGAAATACCATGACAAAATAGATAGGTATGATGTCAAAATACGAGTTTATGAATCGAATGCGCAGAAATGGCGATAGCTTTTCTCCGCCTGTGATTGGCTATAAATTATATCTTATCAGGAAATTATATGCCCGCCAAAACTTAAGTTTGTAAATGAAGTATATAATAAATAGAACTAAAGTAGAGAATAATTAACTATTAAGACTGTATAAAGAGTATATTTATTTTATTTAAATATAATTTATTTATTTATTTATTTAAATATAATTTAAAATGCCTCTTTGTGTTTTTGATGGATGTTTAAGTGGCAGTAGGCGCAAAGGTCTCAACAAAAATCCACACATCCATCTTCACAAATTTCCTAAAAATGAGGAATTAAAAAAAAAATGGGACTTGCAAATTCAAAGTAATAAACCTATTAAATGTAGATAAAGGTAACAGATATTAAATATTTAGTTTTTCTCGAGATAAAAGGAGTTGGTGTTGTTGTAGCTTTTGTATGTTCATTACATTTCAATGCTAATGACATTATTGAGAAAACTTTAGTACACAAATTAGCAGGCTATTCACCTCAAAAATCAAGGAGAGCCAAATTCAATACTATTGAGGTATGATATTAGTAAGATACTCAGGCACCGGTCCAAGTCTAAGTGTTTATAAAAAGGTGTAGGTCGCACATTGGACAAATATGAGTCGTACATTGGACCGGTGCCGATAATCATTTTACTATAACTACAATTTAGGTTATGTAATTTGTTTTAATAGAGAAGTATGGTACTTAAATTACATTTTGTATCATTTTTTTTTTTTAATAATAATAGTTTTAGTCAAGACGGATTAGCTAATAGTACAACACCATATTTTATATGAAATTTCCTTATCTATATCATTCTTTTCAATTAGTACTAACCCTAAGTATTTAAACTGCTTGGCTCTGCTGAAAACATAGTTTCTTATACAATTAAATATATAATAAATATGTATTCATGTATATATTTTAAATCCATAGACAGGTTAAATGATGCAAAAAAGAATTCTTTCAATTACTTGTAAAAGCCTTTTCCTGCAACCAACATAGTTTAGTTTATCCTTATTCTAAGGAAAGGAATACAGTAGGTAGTTCTCTCTTGCTTTTTGCATCACAGTTGATGAGCCAGTATGTTTTGCGAGATGTACAAGCTGCTGTAGTAGTAGTTACTGTGTCTTACTGATACGTCCCTTTAAGCGCCTTTAATTAGCAGGAGTTACTGTATATCTATTCT